ATGAAATCTCCAATGAAAATTATACTGTTATATTAAAAATGCTTAGATATAGAAAAAAATAAAGTATGATTGAGAGGGTGGAGAAGATCTGTAGCTCAGGTTGATGATTTCGGTGGAGTTTTGTTCTCTGAGCTGAATAGTTTGGTCGTGGAGCTTTCATGATTATTCTCATACACATTCAGTGTAGATGAAATTTAAAAATGAAAAGCATTACATTGACTAATTTCAAATGTTTAACACTTTTTTTCCTAAAGTGTAATATTTAATTAAGATGAACCTTTTAACAGAATTTTTTTTAAAAAAATAAACAAACAGTAAAAACAGATAATGAACATGTAAATTAACAATAATTTAACAGGTGAAAACTTTATATTTAACAAATATATTTATATATTTTTTCCTTTCTAACTAAAGTCAATCAAGTCATTATTGTATATTCTTTTATTGAAGGGAAAAAAGGGGAAAAAAAGATACTTAGTTTATATAATTATAACAACAAGGGGATAACAATTATTATTATTCACTTCATTATTAGTATTGTTATTTGTGTCCTATTCCTCTCTCACTTTATAATTATATAGATTAATATATCTATTATTATTATTATTATTATTATTATTATTATTATTAACATAAATTTATAGGTGTGACAAGATTTTACCATAAATTTCGCTTATTCTAGTAGGAAAAGGTGTCTGTAAATTTTGCATTGTACATGCGAACATTATACGCGCATGTACAGAGATAGATAAATAGATAGATAGATAGACAGACAAATAAATAAACATATCGACATATGCACATACACACATAGATACATGCTACGATTGTCATACAATTCCAGCGTCAACGACTAGCATTACTAATTTTTTTTATTGACAATAGTATATTCACTTTCTAGTAACGTTGACGATATACACATCAAATTATTTAACTAAAATATATAATATTACATTAGAGAGGAATATATATATATATATATTCACAGTTTTTGGTCTAGACAGATTCTTTCTTATGCAAAAGAATAAATAATGATAGTATATATACATATATAGTTTGTTTAAAGTTTTACGAGATAATGACAGTGGTGATGGTGTACACTGGTCCGTTTCCCAACATACCTACTTTGATTATTTCTTCCTATCCTGTTGTTACCGTTATCCTAATACCATTCCTTGTCGTTGGCGTTGACTTTGTTATTTGTTTCTTCTTTTTACTTTTAAAAAAAAAAATCAATTTCGCTAATTTCATACTAACCAGATGATGATCTTGTTAACAAAATATTCCATTAATATAAATAATATTGAAAATTGTTAATTATTAACATGAATTATATGCTTATACATATGTATATACATACAATGGTGCATATATATATATATATATTGCTTAAATAAATGAATTTGGTTATAGTGTTACATTTTTAAAAAGAAAAAGACAAGAAAAATTATTAATGATGATATTCGTGATAAAAGTATTGAATGTAATGAGATAAGTATTTATGCACATATAAGATGCTTCTGATGAGGTTTGTAAAAGATGAAATCAAAGTTAGTTGAAAAGATGAGTTATTCCACTTTTCTTACAAGTTATACCTTGTCCTGTATGCTTGTGTACTTTCATTTAATATTTATATATGTATATATATAATGTCAGCAAAACGAAATTTTACTAAATTTTTGACACGAAATTAATGCTTTCGCAAATTTACATATTAATGCAATTACAATAAGTAATTAGGCTATTTTATGTAGTTTTAATTAGATGTTTCTTTAAAAAAAGAAAAGAAATACATATTACATGAATCTGGTGACAACTATAGTTAGTGAAGAAAAAACAGACTAATATTGTTGTCTGGTTCGAACATGAAACTTTGTGATAAGTGCATGTGTGTAATGTCAATTGATGTACTGTAGAAAAAAAATAAGACACTTGAACGTTTATTAGTTTTCGATATCAATATATGTATTCGGCTCGGATTTGAATTGGTCATTTTTTTTTCATGCAACAATTATTCACACTCACAAACATGTACACATAATTTAAACATTATATTGTAATATTCTGTAACTTCATAAGTTTATCATATTTACCAATTATTGGTTATTTAAGCCCATGATGATAATTGATATAAGATCTTTTACTTATCACTGTGTATTCACCAAGACAGTATTAATTATCTGATTAATATTAGAAAGAAATTCGTCGAATATTTCCAACAAGACCTGAACATCCTGGGTTCGATAACTGGTGGGATTGTGGGTGCATATGACTGAGCAGTCTCATTCTAGGATGAGTGCTTCCTGATTTTCTGTGATGTATTTGTCTATGATGAATACAACCTACAGATTAAATTAATTTCGACGAAACTTTTCTAACTATTATAATAAATATTTACGAAGGAAGATTTATATCCAATTAATATTCATTCCACTAGATATTCCTTTCATCTATTAATTTATGAAAAATTCAGGTATTGGTAATCTTGCTAAAGATAATCAAAACTTTACCATGAAATTTTGAGAATGAAGGGAAGTGTTATTGAAACAATGTTTGACTTATGAGAAAAGTCTCAATCATTTTATATGAAAAATATCCATTTACTCTTTGTAAATAGCTCATAAATATTAAATGAATACATTAATCAATTCCTGAATAAAAACAAATAATATCCGGTATTTGGTGTTAGGCTCTTAAGAGTAGTTGCCAGGACACACTGAACCTAGGTTTCGTCCTACTTGGCACTTTTCAACAAGGTGCATGTGTGTGGGGTATGCTACTTATATGGACAGATATAAGTAGTGTGTATGAAAACTGGAAGTAGGACTCTTACTGACGGAAGAGAAACGTAACAACAAGATGTAAAGAACGATTGAGCTTATTTAAGGAAGACACACAAACAATGTACTAAATATATTGTTTACAAATTTCACGAATGTAGTGTGTAATTTTGCTCAGTACAATAAATTGGTTCATTTTAACCAAGTCTATGTTCCTTACACATTTAATGTTGATAGAAAGGGTTTTTACAATGAATCCAACTAACGTTTCTAAGTCTTACAGTATTCGATGCCATCGCTGTATTATTCTAGCTGCGAATAACTTCCTGTATTATTGAGGTATTTACATCGGCTTATCGACAAGAAGGGACCTAAGCAAAGAACTTTCAGTGCCCTCACTATTGCAGGTTCACCTTACTGACCACTGTCTACCAGTAAGAAGTATGGGTTCGAATAAATCCGACCGCCCAGTCTTAAAATCTGAGTTTAGGTGATGCTAATTTACTTAGATTAGTGACCACACTACACCCCAGTCAACATAATTCGATCAAAACTAAGGACTGGCCAAATACGATACCGGTCATCACTCAGTCAATAAACATTATAGCGTCTAATCTTCAATAATAGTTGAAAATTTTTTCCATAATGGCTTGAATATGACTATTAGGTCAGATGATTTGATACTGCCATATACTTAGTATGGATTTATACCATTGACGGTAATCTACCTGAATGACCAAGTGGCAGAGTCTCTGACAATGATATTGACGTTAACTGACCTAAATCTTTCCAAGACTAAAAGTCCATTCGATAATACAAACATATCTCATTAACGAGTCTCAGCAAAGACGAAATATAGCTCTACCATTCCTAGTGAATTCCCTTTAAATGTCTAAAATTATGTGGGTTATTTCATTAGTAAAATGAGTAGTACCACTGATCATGATCTTTTTTTACTTTGGGATCAAAACAACTGATGTACAGCAATCGATGAAATGTTTTAGTCAGCATCATTTACTGTCCAAGCAATTATATTTGTTATCCATTGGTAATAGATTTTCAAGCTAAAAGTCAACTGGTTAGTATCTCACTATAGCCGTCAACATTTTTTACTTGTATGGTATTCATTATTTATTGTAAACATTTAAACATTTCGTTTGTCATTGTTCAGGACTGAAGTGATAAGTCACTATTGGTATATGAATTACTTGAATGTATGACATTACCCAGGTTGTCAGAGTGATAATAATTTAGATATTGGTTAATCACGAAATCTATCCCTTTCATTTCATTGTTCTATGCTTAACATTATACTACCAATGCACTTATTAATTCCAGCTTAATTTCAAATATATAGACTTCAAATAATTATTTTCGTCATAATGATTATTATATATTATTATAATTATTAGTGGGTTTATTCAGTATTATATTTTTGGTACATTACTCATTATCATAATCTTCAACTACTTATATTATCAGTTAATCGACTCATGAAATTAAAGACTCCATTATGAATTCATTTACACTGATTCATTTACAGTGATCGTGAGAATCGACCAGGGAACCCTAATTCCAATTTATTGAGTTCAAACTCCATTTATCGCTAACACGCAGTCAGAAAAACTTATTAATCTGAACTATTTTCAGTCATAGATTCTACGTAACTTACTCTGTACACTAAATCGTAATAGTAATTAACCGGGTAAATGAAGATCTAAATGTTTATTCAGTAACATGTAAAAGATTTATTACTAACTAAATAATTTCACTTATAATTTGGGTCTGTGAGACTTAAAATTAATGAGTAGATTCTGGTAATTATAATTTCTGATTTCATGATGTAATAAATCATATACCAAATATTCGCTATTCAAATCTTTCTTTACCGTAGCATCTGTGAAAACTGTCAACAAATAGTTTATTTTCTAAATTCCGCTCTAATGTACCTAAACCTTCTTCTACTTACTGTAAGAAATTTCATTGGGTACATTTACTAGATGGATAAAAATTTTACTCAATTATTATTGGTTGACATGAAGCGCTTAATTTTTTATTTACATCATATTATTTTATTTTGATTGGTCGCCTATTCAACAACTAGCGTTCTTTTGTTTATTGAATTAGAAAACGAAAATTATTTAATTGTAAAATCAAAAATTACACGTTGATTAATAAATAATCATAAAATTCATAGTGATCATTATTATTTTCAACAAAATGTTGAATAACTCAATGGATTATGATAATATGGAAGATATCTTACCGAACACATCAAATTATTTTTCATATTGTAACCAGCATGTGGATATAAAAACTCATGACAGTAATTTGAGAAATATTCAAACAGACAATGAGAATACAGTCATGACAAAAGCATCAAAACAATTACATTTTTCAATAGATGCCTTGCTAGATGATGACGATATTGATGGCAATGCTAATGATGAAAGTGGTGACAATGATGATGATAATGCTAATGATGATGATGACGATGATGATGATGGGGATAACGAAAATATCGACAATGACAGTTGCAATCATTGTCGCAATCTGGTTAATTCTGACGAAAATAACTTAAGGCTCAAAAATTCTATTCATCCAGAAATCGACGGGAATAATTGTAACAGTAGTAACAGCGATAATAATAACAACCACCATTTCAACAGAACCACCTCGTTATTCAATGAAACTAAAGTCAATAGTAAAAAATCGCATGGTAAAGCTAATCATGATAATGGAAGTGAAGAAAAGTTTACCAATAAGCTTAAAAAACATCATGACGTTAAATCATCAAGAATAAATCAAAATAATAAGATTTCTACAAGTTCACCATCCTATAATTATTCAAGCAAAGATACTACTGACAATAATATGAATAATAGTAATCATATTGATAATGAAGTAAATCATAATCAAATGTCTTATTTTAAGAAGCATAACTTTTTTAATTCATTACACGAATTATCATTTAATGATTATTTAACATTTGGTAATAGTGGAATTGGATGTAAGTCAGTGAAATTTACCCTTCCTATTTTTATTTTCCCCCAATTTTAATCATAATATATACAGGACACTAAGATATCTTATTGTAGTAATCTAATGATAACATTTTCAGAATTTAATTTCATCTTGGCAGGCCATACGGAGTGATATTCGGATTAACGATCTTACGATACATCGTCAAATATCCATTTAACACTATATGGAATACTGTTTTTAGCCAAAAGAGTAACTATTTATTTCACTTTTCAAGCATGCAGCGATTTAAATTCAATAGGTTTGTGGAAAATGTGCCTGGATATTTGAAGTGGAAGGTACTGGATTTGAATATATATGTGAACATTAACACTGAATTGTAGGTAGTTTCAGCTGACGAGTCCCAAATAGGACGAAACATGGTATTTATTCCGCTGCTAGTTACTATCACACTGCATGGAAAAATTTAATCAGTCATTTTCTCCTTGATTGGTTATGAAAATAGTAAATTCACTTTAATGAAAATTTCTAGTATGAAATTCATTATCTTCAAGTTTAGTTCTGATTAATCCATTATTAAATTCTTGAGTGATCAGCAAAATTGTAACAGGCGGTTTATTAACGATCAAAGTAATTGGTTTTCAACAATCAAATCATGCCTTACGACTTAGCTTCATCTACTTCAGCTTGAATAGTGGGTTAGTGTCGTTAAACCATCTTCACAGGAAATGTAACTTCAAGCCAAGTATATTAATCTATCCTTAGTAAATAAGTTATGTAAAGTTGGTTCGATTCAGTAAGTTTGATCTTAATAAAAATAGATACTTAACAGAATAGAAATAAATAGTTGTGAGAAAAATCAATAAACTTTTCTGTTAGAATATAATTTATGTGTATTTGTTGAATGTTAAATTGTATAAGTGCAATTGCTTGGAATGTAAATATCATTAGATTGTCTATGACTGTATTGGACCTAAAAGTAGTTGATAATTTAATAATTTTATCGGTGATAGTTTGGTGATCACAACATACTAGTATTAATTTATTTGCCAAGTAAAGATTTGTGTGTTTGGCTCCAAGTAATACTCCAAATGTGACAGCTAATGATATTATCCGATTGCCCAAGCAGAAGCAGATTGAACGAGGTTCAGACCTGTGACTCAGTGGCTAAAATTTGAACGTCTTAACCAGTGAGTCACTTTTCAACATACAACATACGGTTTTCGGTTGTGCTGTATATTCTAAATTATACGATTTAATTTGACAGCTTTCATTGTTATTCTGGACACACATCTTCAAATCTTACTTTATGCAGACATACACTTTCCAGTTATTCCACAATAGTTACGCCAGTCCATCCCAATGGTCTTGCTTGCAATTGGCTGCCTTAGTGGATTTTGTCTTCTTCATTTTTCTTCGTACTCATGCTGACCATTATTTCCGGCCGACCTCAACAAGTGACTTATGTGGCGCATAGATATTCTGTACCCCTTTGTACAAATATTAATGTGTTCAAATAAATAAATCAATCAATCAACAATTAAACGACATGACCCAAAGATACCGCACCACTAAAAGACTAGAGGTCAACTAGCAAAGACAGTCAACATGAATACAAAGACAAACAAAGACGACGAAATCCACTAAGACAACTAACCACAAAGAAGACCATAGGAACGAACTGATGTAACCATCGTGGAATAGCTGGAAAGTGCTCTTCTACATGAAGTAATCTTCAAAAATATGTCCAGAATGACAATGAAAGCTCTCAAATTAAACCGCATAACTAAGAGAATACAGCACCACCAATAGCATCCATTCGTAGACGTAAATGATGACTATCATTTCCATAGTGTATAGTTTTTAATTAGACAACTTTTAAGGCCAGAATCTTGCACATTCATCTTCTAGTTCGAACAACCAATTGAATAAATAATCCTGTGTAATTAATAAAAGAACAAACTTCCAATTATTTATTTTAATGATATTAAAAATGTTTAGGAATGTAATGTAGTTTACATATTATGAAAATTATTTGCCATACAACACATATTTAATCTTATAAGTTCATCAGAACAGGCCGCAGTGTAGACTATAGTGTTTTACTTTACATCGACTGTGGGTATTTTTCATATCGTTATTAATATGGGTTTGAACTGTGTCGTTTTTAATTTTCAGCTCAATGTACAGATAAGTAGTCATTTGAAGTGAAAGTTACTGAGTTCGAACATCAGTAGTTACATCCATCTTATGAGTTATCAACAGGACGAAACAAATCTCTTAAAATCCACAACAGATCCATTCTTAAAATGCGTTTTTTTGCTTATTTTGTTAAACTTAAAATATAAAGTGTATACAATGTCACTGTATCCTTACAACTGATGTGCAAATGTAGAAATTTTAATATGTAAAATATTTTATCCACATGTTTCTTCTTCTTCATTGAAACCTATTTTGCTAACTTTTGAGATTATGGTTTAGCAAACAGACACACATTTGTTACACCATCCATTGATCGATTAGTTCAGTATTAACATCTCAAACTATGAAACTAAGTGACTCGGATTTGAATCCCAAAAGAAGCATTAGTTCACGTAATACTACAGATACATCTTGCCAATGAGTACCAACTAGCACGGTACATATCTCCAGGATTTTCTGCTAATTGCTTCCAACCGCCTATAATTTCAACATAGTGTAGGCGATATAGAATTACTTAGAATAGTGGCCAAATTGTAATATAAAATTCGATTAGCACCAATGACTAGACAAATATAGCATTGGTTACTGTTTAGTAGTCAATCAACAGTACGTTTGTTCGTATGATGTAGTCATGCTCTCTTTGTACGAGATTTTCACTACTGAAGTCGAAATAGATAATGATATCATTAATAGCATTGGACGGTCGACCATCTATGTCACCAATTGACTGGAGTTGAGATCATACTATTGGACACGCAGCATTAGCTACGAGACTTGAGGTTGTACCTTCAATCGTTGTTGGATTCGTTGATGAAAATTCAGAGGCGTTCCATACTAAGGCAAAACAGTTCTACAGGGCTTTCTGATCTTCAATAGTAACTGTGTTATTTATCTATGTTACTCCTGTTACTCCTCATGAATCATAAGCCACCGACTAGGGTTTTCCAGTAATGTCAATCTTTTAAAGTAATTCCAAGCATGATGCTACGTAACCATGATGTTGAAATATTCCTTCCATTACATAGTAAATTTAGTCCCAAAATTAATAGATGAATATGTATTCAATATATGGCTTTGATCACACAGATTTTAATGAATTAACATAGATGAGAGTACGCGGTTAATTATCGACTCGATTTATTATAGTGCACTTTGAACTTGCAGCTCTCTAAACGGTTGGATTATCTTGGATGTGCCTACTATCAATATGAAATAAATATATACCTCTTCAGCTGATACTTTTCCTTCTATGTTTTGCATCTTTTAATTTCTTATCACTCTGTCCTGAAATGATTTATGTTAATTTGAACCAGTACACATTCGTATCATGTTTTATGATAACTAGACTTTACTGAGTAAATGGTTTCCGCTACAAAATAATAGCAAATCAGGATTCCGTAAAAACAGAGAACATTGGATATCTATTTTTATTTTAAATTAAAGCATCTCAGCAATGTCAGTCTACAACCTCACACACATATGATCATATGACCCATGAATTTTAAGTCTTTTGGTGAATTGATAGATAATTCCCATTTAAACACTATAAATTAAAACAGGAAGTTCAGCGAAGGGATCTCTTTTCAACGAATTTATTATCGAGCTGTACAATCGTATATATATATGAAATTTTTTTTGTTAAAGTACTAATTCCATGAGGAAATATGAACACGAATAACCAAGATGACGTAATAGAAAGAATTCTACTATTGTCTTCATCTTGCAAATACATGATCACATTTTATTAGTTCGTAACCTTAACCTCAGCTAATTGGTCTTTATACTAATTTTATGGATAGATCTGATGATTTATTCCCAATTCGAATAACTCTAGAAATTACGGTTTCACAATCAGACTTGTGAAGAATTTCGCCATACCCTCATCGCCACATCCATCTTATCATTTATCAATACTTCATTGTAGTTTATGAAATGTTATATATATATATATATATATATATATATATATATATATATATATATATATATATATATAATGAAATACATTCAATCGTTCCTGTGACACAATATTGTTTATCGTAATTATTAATTAATAAATATATTACTAGTGTGATTAAAATAATTACTGACCTGTGAATGAGTTCAAATTATAACAATTTTATTGTTATATAAGAAATCAAAACTTTACTGAATATGCTTATTAAATTAATGTTAATTACTGTGAATAGTAATAATGAGTTTATGTGTTGATTAACTATGTAATTAAATATCCTACTTTCCGGTATATATATACATATGTATATATAATCTCTTTGATTATTGTAAGTTATTCCGCTTAGTTTCATATTTATATATCATTGATGACTTTCATTGAATTGATGTTTTACACAAATAAACAATATGAACTGAATTCAGTTCAGTTTGCATAAAGAATTGATTCATTTTTGAGGAGAGTGGTGAATTTCTAATACACTTGTTATCATAATTAAATATTTTAAATTTTCAGTTCGTCATGACAATATATAGAAGGATCATTGAGAAAAATGATGATATACACTGTATTAAAACGAAACAGTTATCTAGTGCTCTCTAGTTTTCATTGTTACCTCAATTAATCTGTGATGAGTAATACCCACAAATTAAAATGGTCACTAAAAAATCTTTCTTTAATTAAAAATCAAATAGTTATGTTCCACTTGTTTTCCTTTTCATATGAGGAATATCTTGAAACAAACTAAGTTGTGTTGGTCCCTTTGTGTTGAGATCTACTCTACTCGCATACATTCAGTTTTGTTTTCTGTCAGACAAATCGAGGGGGGGTTAAATTTTAATTATTATCAGTTGATTTTACATACTCAGTAATCCAATTAGGTATGTGTTTAGTTAACTCAGTAGATTTGGTTTTTACTGCATACGTATAAATAAGAAAGAAACGTTTAAATTCGCAATCTTTCCTTAGAAGGAATTATTTCTTCGTACAGTAAACTACTGCTTATTTAGAAAATAGTAATTACGTCTTAGTGAATATTGTGAAGATGATATTTTTATTAACATAATTTATGAAGTAATTGTTAGTTGATCTTAAGATTATGGATCGATTGTTTAGTGTTCAGCGCATCCAAATTTCACTCATTTGGTTGTGAGCTCAACCATTGCTTTATCTAGTCCTGTTTTAAGTAAACAGATCATATAACTAATTGTCATACTTAACGTTTTATTCAAAGCTAAGTGTAAAAACCCATAATTAGTTAATAAATTACATCTTAATTGATCGATTTGTTATTAATATATAGTGAATTCGGATTAATTTTATCCACTGGTGGTTGAGTAGTATCACAAGTTCCCATACACATCTTGTATGTTGTGCTTGAGTAAACAAAACTTAAAGTCATTTATAAATCTCATATGAACATAAATACAACTTGCACTCAACCTGTGTTCATTGGGTATTAACTAAAGTTCTATCATTTAGCTCTCAGTATTAGTCGATTGTAACTAGTGCGTTAATTGATTTAACATTACAGTTTATTTTCTTAATAATATATGGGTAAAAACACTAGACAGGTTATTGCCAACTTAATTTTCATGATGTTTAATACGCTTTAGTGAATACATCTCTAATATTCAGGAAAGATTCAAGGTTGCGACAGTTCTTTACGATATGTTATTCAAGTGTTGACAGTTTAATCATCTGACCTCATATCCAGTTTGTCAGCTCCGAAAACAGACGGAAATATTATCGGGAGATAGATGAATAGATTGAACTAAAGGAATGAAAGGCATTCACTTGTGATTCTTTACAATATTTCATTCACAGTTTTGCGTATTATTAGGGAACTATTTAAGATTTTATATTTTGTCTATTTCCAGCCTATTTTTTTATAAAAGAGCGGATAGATGAGACATTTAATAGGTACACGCAAAATATAAATTCCCTACACATTAGCTTATATAATTTATGGGTTGATAGTAGATTATCACAAATTTCCTGAACGTATTCCCATGAAAGTCCGTAAACTGAGGCGAACAAGACATACGACACGAATATAAACTCAATAGCTACTCATAAATCCTACATTGAATAACACTATAGAAGTAAACTGACATTCAAAAAGATTAAGACGCTAATCGATCATTGAATAGTATTGTGTTGTAATGTCAAGTTGTTTGTATTATAAATAGTCACTCACCCCTCATATTGCTCAACGATGATATCTTTGGCTGGTTAAGTTTCATGAGGAACATCATTTTTCATCAAAATGTTCCAAATAGCATGATATATATTTCCGAGCCCTTGTCTTGATTAACATCAACGATATCAAATGAAGTATATCACGATATTTAGTGTCTTAGAGACTACTAGCCACATCGGGATTTGATTAAAAAAAGTTGATTAACACAACACTAATAATTGATATGCGATCACCGCTTGTTTTACGTTGAATATATTTTTACAAATTAGTTCTTCACTCATATACTTATTTATTTAATAAAACAAGTTGTTTTTCCCTAAATTTCTATTTTTAGCTCGACCTATTCCACAAAAGTGTACATTACGTAAGCATAAACCAAATCGTCGACCAAGAACTCCATTTACAACTCAACAATTATTAGCATTAGAAAGGAAATTTCGTCAAAAGCAATATTTATCTATTGCAGGTTGGTTAATTTATTATCATTATTATTAATTATAGTTCACACATACATTTCATTGTCTTTTTGAAGCATATTCTCAAAGTTTGATTTTCCTCATTATCATTATCACTACAATTATTTCATTTCCTCTGCTGTTTATCTTCTTGTGGTTTTATGATACGGTAACTCGGGTTAACGTGTATTTGTACCAAGCTGTACTCTGACTATGAGAAACTTATTGTTATTATTATTATTTTTATTATCAATATTGTTCTGAGTACTTTTTTTATGTATGAGAAATGTCTATCACGTTTACTGCTTGTTCAATACAAGAAAACCAGTTTCATGTTATTGTAGCGATAAATATGTGTGCAGAAATCAATATTAATAGAAACTGCATTTAGTATTCCTGTGTGTATGAGTGTGTAACATGAAGCTTTCTAAATTTAATGGCCATCATTTAGAAAATATGTTTCTATAGTTGAAACTTTATCCTTCGATAATTAAAACTGGTCTGATTTTAAAAAATAATGAATTTTATGTGTATTGAAGTAAATGTCTCATTACAATATGTATTAAAGTTAGTGCAGTTATATAAACGATTCTTCTCAGTCCCTCAATTTTTTTCCGTATGACTTCTAGTGAAAACAATTCCAATATGCGTGTGATTGATGTTATTATATATATATGTTAACATTTCTCTTACAGATTAATTTAAAATGCATGAGTTCTCTGTTAATGTGTAATAATGCTCCATGTAACTGTAACTGTAAAACACGAAAGTCTTGAGTACGATCTCTAGGGGAGTAGTAAGTGGGTTCTACTAATGAGTTACAACCAAAGATCAAGTAACTGTCATTTACTCTTTATTTTTCAGTGATATCTCAAACGAACACCAAACTATTATACATATATCAAGGAGAATAAATCAAATATTACCTAAACTCACTAAAGTCTTTACTCTAGTTTCTCCTTATCGATCAACGTTTTATTAATGTCGAAGACAATTTCATATATTCACCATAAATCTATTGTTTACCATTACGACTCAATATTTCCTACATGTTATCTTATTACTACCTGTTTTATTGTTTCCTAAACTATTTAAAAATACACTTCTATACAAAAGTAGAACCTTGAAAACTTTCATTATTGTTAATAGTCAACTTTTAGACTAGATTATAAAAATGTTTATTGATGGAAATCTGACATTGTACAAACAACCGATTACAGTATTATTTCCTCAAATAAAAGTCATTTCTTATTACCGATATCTTTCTTTATTTACACTACAGCAAAGAACAACTTTCAAGCACATTAGAATTTGTTCATGTACAGTAAAATACTAAAAGCTTTAAGACCTTCAATAGAACTCAATCATCACTGAAGGCTAGACAAATATGTCAGCGTGAATATCTTACCACTAAAAATGGGTCTGTCATTTCTTTAATATCTCATTAGTAACGTGTCTAAATAGGACACTGGGTGGCGAGAATTAGAATTTCACAGAGCACATTAGTATCCTCAATATTTCAGATAATTTTCTCTGGTGATTTCCAACTAAGAGACAAAATAAACACAAATTATTGTAAATTCCTACCAAAATTAGATAATTTTACCAATACTTACTAAGTTGCAGATAAAAGTTGTAACTTTATAGAATCTGTTCAACTAGATGCAAAATTAGATTGAAAATATAAAATCACTGTAGCGTTTACATATAACATAGGAATCTTAGAAATGAAACTAGAGTTCATCATTTTGTCATTAATTACTAAAATATTATCAAAATGTTTTTCACTATATATTAATTATTATCATATTGTTCGACTAAGATTACTAAGATTACAAACCGATCTAAGTTAGATAACTATTGAAATCAAAAAGGACTAGTCAATCATTCTACTCCTGTATGAAACTCTTCAGTACTGTCCATTTACGATCTCATAACTAAGAATCGATTATTATTATTATGACTAGAAAATATCTAAGATACATTAAACTAGATTAGTTTCTTCATCATGAACATTTATATCACTAACAGGAAATAAAACCTCTTTCATCATTTAATCATAATAAAAAAAAATTAGCTGTTGAATAGTCTTCATTTCATTTATCCATCTAAAATAATTTTATATCATATATCATAGGGAGATTTTTATTCATGTGATTTATGTTCACTTTTAATAAATCCATCATCTTTTTTTTTTTAATAAAAATACATCTCATCTAAATATATTACTCATATAATCAAGCCTACAAATAAATAATGGTAATAATACATGATTACTACTTAGGATTATTTACTATTATTACTATATCAACATGATTATTACCATTATTATTATTATTATTATTATTAATGGATTGTTTACTCTGTGTACTTATTACTTAGAATAGCACTCAGTTTATTTAACGATTCATTAATAAATTAAATCATTTGATTAATTTCTCCTTTAAAGCTGTGAAAAAATTTTCTCCTATTATTAATATAATAATAATACTGTTTATCCTATATGATTATTATTTAATGGGAAATATCCTTTTTTTTCTTTCTGTAATTTAAACAACAACAACAACAACAACAATTAGGTCAAATCAATTAATTATATTTTTATCCATTACTTAGTGAACTATGAAATGATTATCATATTCACAAAACCCCTCACTTATTATTTATTTATTTTGTTAATGTTTTTGCGTTGTGTTAAACAACAGTTGAATAAATTAAACAAATGACACATATATTTTTTTAATTATTAGATATCTTCATAATGTATTCAACTATTTTTATCTTCAAAGTTGAATTGATGAGTTAATCTAAGTTAGATCACGATTGAAAACCCGAAAGCACTGGATGGTTGTTTCATTCTAGTATGGAGACTTCTCAAGAGTACACATCCATGATCTTATACTAGGGTTCGAACTCAGAACATTCGATCTATTATCTTATTATACGGATTAATATCATGTTTAACTGTGGTTAGAGGTTTGTATTTAGGCTTTCGGTATGTTGTTAGTTTTAGGAAAGTATAACTGAAAACATAGGCTTAACATTGAGAGTCCACATAGTTAACACATTGTAAAAGCAAAATGAAATATTAGTTAGATACTGAATAAGCATGTAGAATGATAAAACAGATTGATAGCAATTGAAATTTCATAACCATCCGTTTAATTAAATTTGTTAATCTAAATTGAAAATATAAAGTTCTGAATATTTAAATGAGAATATCTCTGAATATAACATTGAATGATAGGTGTTAAAATCCTACAAGGATAATCAGTTCCCTCAATATTGTACACAAGTCTTGCTGATTATTATTTATTAATACCATTGATTTATTTATTCAATATTATGTTTTTTGTACAATATGGAATTCTGAGCACAAAGTATTTCCACAAGTTTTCTATTCTTATTTCTTGACCGATCTTGACGATAAGTAGTAAGTGATCTCCAGTTACATGTTAGCAGTTCGGGAATCAATATCTGAATAATATTCTTTTTTTTTCGATCTATATTGCCAGCCACCACGATGTCTCTGAATCTACTGTTTTGTAACTTGTACAGCGAAAAGTTGTAAGCGTTTCATAAATGCTCCTGAATGGGTTACGCGATTAGTAGACAAAATGATGTGTCAAAAAAAACAGTTAACTTGTTAAAATATTAAGATGTAATGTACAAAGTGCTCAGATATTCAAAGAAGTTGCCGTACCACCAGAGTGAAAACTGAGGCGAAAATAAGACTTTCGGATTCCTGTCAATCTCTTGGCGATCATCTAATACTAAATTTAATACAAAATGTCATGTACAACTGACTGTCTACTGTATCGTTTAATAAAATATTTCTTTCATCAAAAGAGTGATGTTTAACACCACACACAGTATTACTCCTTTTTTTCGATAAAGTTGATTCTCTCAATAAATACAGATTATTTCAATATATTACAAAATCTAATTGATGTGATTGAGATTCTTTTGATCAGATTTAACATTTCTATATGTGCATGTGAATTATTGTAAGAAATTTTATCTGTGTACATTAATGTATGCGAAAACCTCAATCATAAATGTGGACATAAACAGTTTATCATTTTACTTCATACTGTTCAATTCTTACTTTTTTTTTGACAATAACAACTTTATCGTTATGATCAGCATACGTTATCGAAGTAATTTTTTTTAAGAAAACAAACAATCTTTACTCATAAATGTTTCATGTTTTACTGATCTGTGTTTTTATCTTTTATCTGTTAACAGATAAAGTTTTTTGTTTCATCATTTTTCACACTACATCATTACAAGGTGATTTCTTTTTTAAAAAAAAAAACCTGTTCTTTATCATAGTGCGCATGAAAATGACGAAACAAGTTATTTAACCATCTACATCAATAATATGAACATAATTTGACACTGAACATACTTACTACACTCTTTAAGCTGAAAATATGATTTCTTAGTGTTCTCTATGTATGTCTGTATATGTTTACATGTGTAAGGTATACCTTTCATCTTACATGTTTAAACATACCCTATGGAAAGACGGGTATAATTAACCCTTTTATTTAAAAAATATATTTGAGGAAATTGACTTATATTTCAGAAAAAAAATATTTAAATTGATCATCATTCATTACCGTTATCACTTTGAATCTTTTCCATTCATTGTGCACATCCATGTTTATGTTTGTATGTGTGTGTACATATCATTATCATTGTTCCATTATTGTTCATGTGATTGATTATGTTAGTACACCGGTAGGCAGTTTGTTATTATCATGTATATGTATGTGTATATTAGTGATATACAATTAAGTGAAGGTAAATTTTCCATGTCCTACCTTCATAATTTTTGGTTAATTTGTGTTTTGGCGATTTTCTTTCCATGTAAATTCTTTTCTTCCCCCTTAAACCATTACTTGTCACTCTTACCTCTCATTGATATTATTCCTCCTCCCAATTTTTCCCCACCTCCATGTTTTCATTTTTAAATTGAAGACAATCGGTAAAATAATAAGTTGAAAGAATTTTCAATGTTTGTTTTTTTTCTTGAAATTGTAGTATACAGTGTGTAATTAACTTCATTGAGTAAAATATAATGAACGTTTTCCTTTTATTTACTTTTAAAGTAAATGAGAAGGGTGAGAACACACAACAACGAAAACTTTACTGAATGTTGATTGATGTTTTCCATGAAAACTACCATTTAACAGAAAAATATATATAATATTGTCGTTATTTTCAAAACATAATTTGAAGGCAGTTACAGTTAAAGTGAATGTCAATGAGAATTAGAGAAAATGTCTAATGATATTCATTGTCTTCTCCTTCTTGATCCATGGTATTGAACTATTCAAATAATTTTGATAAAGAGAAATATCTATTGATATATACATATTAACATGGTAGTGTAGTTTGTTTTACTTCATTTTAACACACTTACATGCATATTAAACACAAATAAAGGTATATCTGTACATGTATACATACATATGGAAATAGATACTCAATGAATTCATTCACATGGACAAAATAAACTGATGATATAAACTGTCAGATAAGAAATTTGTCATTTGAGGTAAACAGTTTTAAATATTTTCTATAAATAACCAGAAATGGAATAGTGGGATGGATGTAGTCAGTTTTTTTATATTGTAGAGAAAGTTATGCAGAAGGAAAGCACTCTCGGCCATATGAAAATGAATATGTCGATGACTTAATGTAAACAAATGACGAAATGATGTTGATTAATAGTTATATGGATTGTTTCGTTCACTGTTACAAAAACAAACATGTGACTAAGGTCAAAGGCACTGGATGAAACATTTTAATCTCTCAAATAAAAGAACATTTTTTTGCTATGAAATTTCATTTAATTTCTAAATTATTTAAAAGGATAAAGTTTTGTTTATATAATTCCAACATCGAATGAGTATCACTCATTTGTTTTCGCTAATGAAGATAAATTAATCTCAGGTTAAATGTTTTTGTCAAATTTCCCGCATCACAGTTTAATTTGTGTTTGAATCAACCAATTGAGTCAAAAGCGGTATATAATAAATTAACTGGATGCCGGCTCAGTGGTCTAGACGTTAAGCGCGAAACCGATAGATCCTGGGTTCGAATCTCGCGGGGCGGGATCGTGGATGCACACTGCTGAGGCGTTCCACAATAGGACGAAACGACTGTCTAGCGCTTCCAGGTTTTCCATGATGGTCTAGCTTCAAATGCCTCATGATATCAACTATTAAAATTACTATAATATCCACAAGAAGCCCCTTCTGATATTAATTGAAACATATTTGTCCCATTTTCGTCAGTAAAGCTTAAATAATATACTACTACAACAATACTACTAGTAACAATAATAATAATTATTATTATGTTCCGTGCTTTATATCAGCTTTAACTGACTTAGTGATCTAAAGCTATTGTGGTTAACTATACGCAGTCGTAACTGAATAGTTCCCGTAGATCTCAGGCGTTGACAAGTCACCTACTCATTGCTTGAATTCGTGATGACATTTTAGGTGACATCAGTTTTTGGTGAACATATTCCTGAACTTGTGCAAGTCTCCATAAGAATAAGTTCTTGAAATACGAATAACAGTTCTATGCTATGAAATGAAAAGATAACGTTTTTCGGCTCCGTTTTTTAATCTAGAAATATTTCCAAATATTTTAGGTGAATAGAAAATTAAATGAGGTTTGATAGTATAGTTGAAAAGTAGTTGCTGTGGTACAGTTCCAACCATTCCTTATGTCCTTATGTACCTAGATCTCAATGTTGATATTAACATTGACATTTGAACACAGCACATTTTATTTTAAACACTCAACACGTTATCCACTTGGCTACAAGATGGTGTAACATATGAATTTCTCTTTAATTATAAGTATTTATATTTTTCAGTTGTTAATGTTAAGGACTGATAATCAATATCCAAATCTAATTAAGACCTGATGAAGATTTTCCAACAGAGTTTGCAAGTCTTAATATCAACTACAGTAAAATAAAATCCTTACAAGTAATGCAGTGTAAATACGTGGATGAAGTTTTAGAACCATCGTTACTTGAATACATGTCATCATAATAGACTTGTCATGTCTCAATGTAATAATCAGTCAGTACAGATGAATCATTTATTTATTTATTCAGTTCTATTTACCACCAATAAGGAAATGTTTAGTTTATTACGTCATAATTCATAAATAAAGTCAAGTAGTATAGAATTTGGTTACTATGTTATCCATTCATCTCATTAATTAAACTAATCTTTATGCACATATGTAATGGAAGGTAACTTTCTAGATGTTGCTCTCCTTCCGTTATCCATCTCTTTGCATATATATATATCACCATACCAAACATTGTTCATTTATGACAAACTAATCTCTTAATGCTATTATTATCATATCATAATGGCTTTTTGTTCGCCTGTGTGTACATATTATGTAATATCTAATAATTGCAGAATTAATGATGAAACTATGCGCATATGTGAATGTATGAATCTGTGTGCTATAATAAGATGGATTGAAAGGGTTGTTTGACGGGGGGTGGTATAGTTGTGATGTATGTTTTATATCACATTATTTTTGCTATTTATATGTTAATTATTTATCAATTCATATTGATGAAATAATTAACTGATATCTCTATTAAGTTTATTTAAGATAAATTTATTTCGTCAGTTGCTCTAGTTTACTGTTTCATTTTTTGTATGACTTTCAATGATGCGAACAACAACCATTCTAATGATGAGTGTTCATATCTTGAAATTGATTGACATTTACATAGTTTTAATCTAAGTCATAGTAACTAACCCACATGTAATTAAATATATACAATTTCAAAATAAACATTATACATTCATAAGAAGTATTTAATAAAGAGTTAAACGAATTATAAAACTGACCACTTAATCATTTATTAAATAAGATTTGAAAAGTTTACATTGATTGATCTCTCCACTCTCTCCGATTGTGACAGGTTGAAATCATGCAAGAACCAACAATTTCCTCGGACTTACTGATGCCAACTAATATGAAACCTAGATTTAAAATTTTCTATCCGTCTCCTTCAATCAAATAAAATTTAAATTCTAAAGTGATACTAGTGACTTGGGTTGAGATCACACAGGGTGCAACAGTTCCTTCAAAAATATAATAAGTTTTTCTGATGACTGTCTACGATCACATTACATAATGTAGTCAACAATTAGACTAACATCGAAACTGTATTGTAAATGGTCTTGAGCGGTATAAGTAGTTATAACTTTTTAAAACTCACTTATCATGTATTTGACACAATCATAACTGATTAAATACGCAACCTTCTCGACTATATCTGAAGGTCCAACACCAAAGGTGAATACAAAGTGAGATTTCTCTAACCTTCTAGAGACAGTTAACATTGATGTAAATCCCTCAAAGTACATTATTACCGTTAAAAATACAGGCATCTCTTGAGGTTGAGTGCTATCTAACACGAAACTTAGATTCACTGTTTCTTCCAGACTATTTTGAATCATGCAACATCAAAACATAGAGTACATGATGTCAAATCAATCACACAAATAACCAAATTGCAACTTGGTCAATTGAATTCACTTAGCCTCATGGACCAAACAAATATAACTTTGGTCACTAATCAGTAATCAATAATTGTAAATTACATTAGATTACAATTTGACATGTTGAAAATTTTTAATCGTTTTAGTACATTTTGATAAATACAATCCCCATATAGCTGTAAACTTGCAAAGAAATTTTCTATTTATGATTTATTAGTAATTATCTATATTTTCAATGATAGACATTGTTGTATAAGGATTAAAGGCGAATGAAGACTGTTGTGAGACTGAATAAAGTATCATAACCCATCTTTGAGAAAAAGCCAACATTCTGGTCTGATCAGATGCACGAATGCCATTAATGTGTTTTCATTATGATAACTGCTCAACATACCATATAAACTGAGTTTGTAAATGTGAACCATTAAATTACAATTTAATAGTATGGTTTGGTTTCTTGTGAAGTTGTTTATAAGGACGGGAAATAAATTTTTATTTAGAACTAAATAGCTGTCATGTAATCCCTGTTTTTCGCTAGTTCTCTAATTGAGGTCACTTTATGATGAGATACACGGATCACGAAGTCATAGAAAATGGTGTTCATAGTGTTTTCAATCTTACACGTATTGCGATCTTGGTGATTGTTTGGTTTTATGAAAGTTTAATGTAAAAGGAATTGTAAAAGTCCTTACGATTTCCATGTTTAAATGTGAACTAACAGACAGACAACAATATCTGAGCAATAGGACATAAATTAAACAACCACGAAGTGATTCATAATAAATGAACATAGATACCAACTTTTTTAAAAAAGCTCTCAATCGGCAATTTCTCCGTATCAGATCAATTTATCAGTGGTTCGTTTAAGAGCCTTATCCTTTGCTTGGCAATATAGGATAAGTTACTTTTCCGTTAGCTTCTAAAATAACCTTAACACAAAGTTCTAAGGTTTTTACTTCATGTTATTCACTTTAGTCGACAGCGGTATAACAAAATGATTTCAACATGAGCATAAGTAATCTTGAAATAGAATTATTGCTTATTACCATACATTATTTAATGTGGATGAATAAATTTGTTTACAACATTTCATTCATTATACTCCAACCGTCTGTGTTTAGTTTAACTTTCCAGTAATGAATGTTGATTATCTGTTTCATTAATCTATAAAACTGATTAAACTGTGTAACTTTGTTTAAATACTTTAACTACTTTTTAGAGAGAGCAGAATTCTCAAATAAACTAACATTGACTGAAACACAAGTGAAAATATGGTTTCAAAATCGTCGAGCAAAAGCTAAACGTTTACAAGAGGTTGAAACCGGCAAATATCATCTATCACCAAATGAAAATTTAGAGACAGCTTTAATTGCAGCCATGTCATCAGCAAATCATGCATCACAATTAGGTACAACAAGTAGTAATAATAATAATGATAAAAATTATACAGATTCTGTGGATATGATAGCTCATGATATGACATCATTTCATACTGTTCCAATATCACCACCACTTTCCATATCATCAACACCGGTTATTTCGTCTCCTTTATTACCTCAGTCAAAATTTCCTTTTCATTCTGTGTCCACTTCTCGAATTCCACTATCTTCTAACACACCAAATTCATCACATCAATATTTATGCTCATGTATTTCTCCGAATCACCAGTGTTCATACAAATCAACAGAACTGACTAGAGATAATATTCTACATCTTCCTACGACTAGTATGCTTTCATCTTTCTCAAATTTATCATCACCATTATCCACAGACCATTTGTATACACATAATCATCACCTTAACGTCAATAATAATAATAATAATAATAATAATAATAATGGCAAAGTACATTCAAATTATGATTGTGAACAAATTTCATTTAATCCCAATAAACCAAAGTTATCATCAATTAAAAACTTTTCACATGATGACTTTCAACATCAACTACAAAGTATAGAAACAGTAAACTCTAAACATTTTTCCACAACAAATGTTGATAATAATAATAATACGTCTCTTTTATCCTTTACTAAAAGTCATCCTAATAAAAATATCCCTTCTAATGATATGATTACTACTAATTGTATTAATAAGAACAATATGAATGGTACAACACATAAAACATCAAAGCATACAATATCTTATTTTTCAAATGGGCAACGAATTGACAATCAACATGATAATCATAGTAGACTTATTAAGAATGATAGTAGCGATAATAATAATAATCATGATAATAATAAAGATAATTTAACGAATATGAAATATGATTCTATGCTTGATTTTCAATCAATACTTAATAATCTTCAGTCCAATTCAAATGGGATAAATAATTTGAAAACAGTTGAAACATTGAATGATCCATTGTCATTGTTATGTGCAGCTAATCATTACTATCAACAATATGATCAAAATAAAGAAATAGACCATAATTATTCAATTGATTTAAATAATAATCACAATCCAAGTATGTTTATAAATCGTTATATATTCAATAAACCTTAACACAGATTTTATTTGAAAATCCCTTATAAATAAATCCCCGGTGACCGATTAGTATAAGACCACTTGGTACTTTAATAGCTTTCTGGTAACATCACTGACTGTAATAGTGAGTTATACAGGTATAAATCATGTGCTTATTCTCGATGCTCTTATGATTGGAGATATGACTTGCAAACGGTTTGTCGAATGTCACGCATCCTGAAACTATCTATCTATCTATCTTTCTATCTACTTAATTATTTGTATACATATTGTAAGTTATATTTAAGAGAACATCTTGATTTTAATTGGAAAGTTACTCAAATTGTAGTATATTATAGGTACCTGTTTATAAGTCAGAAATGTCATGTTTAATTGTTATATATTATGCCGAAAGTTTATTCATAGATAACCATTTAAGTAGAATAAATAGGATATGTATTGCATAGAAAAGGGAAAATGAACACAAATAGTTCTTTGTACAATTGTTTATTTACGTTAATAATTCAAGTAGCCTACATTTTAAATGCATGTTGTTGATAGCTAGATAATAGCTATGATATCCCGCATCCTATAATTAGTATTGTCATATATATATATATATATATATATATATATATAATGCCAGATAATAATGCTTCATCTGTCTTGCATATCATCGCCATTATTTTTATTCATCTTAGTATCGGTTTACTAACTAATGGTAAGTATCCTAGTGCAGCTTGGAATGGGTATTGTAAAAATAAATATCTATTGTTTCCTACCCAGTATTATCATTTTTATTTTCAAAATAGTTTAAAAAGATGGATGGATATGGGTGCGAAAATAGCAAACATTAAAATAAAAACAAACTCAACTTACTAGAAAGCTACTATAGAACAAGATTGTATTTGTTTACGTGGGTGTGAATATATGTATATTTATTTGCGCAGTAACCTACAAAATTCTATTCATTTGTATGTATACACATTAATAGGTATATTTCTAAATTATAGCAACTCGGTGTGAAACTATGCATGTATAGTATAACTGTATAAATGATTATTTATTTGTGAGTTTTAGTCTGTTATATTGGTTTTTTTGTAGTTTTAAATCACAGGCTGATTTTTATTAGATAACCAGGAAAAATCATAAACTAATGAACATGTATTTCATTCAAGTACATGACTTTTCAGCATTCTGTATCGGCTGCCTCACCAAGGAACGAGACCAGGACCTTCGGGCCATAGGACTTATACTTAAACTTCAGATCACTAAATCGGCATTCAGTGGTTTACATTTCCAAATTTATTTAATTCGTAATATTGCGTAACGATCATAAATTGCCATTGATAATAATTGTCTGATTGTCGATAGGGCTGAACTCTGGTACGGCCGAGGGTGGGGAGAGTTTGCTCTCTCTCTCTCTCGAAATGCTCTCACATGGCCACGCGTATATAGCCTCTGACAGGGAAGTCCTACTCACTGCCTTCTCCTGACGGGGGTGTTGTTTACGAAAATGAGAGGACGAAAAGCGAATGTCCGGCGCTTTAACCGGACTCCAAACCAATGGTGCACATGGGCTCCAGTATCCTGCGGGAACAAATGGCGTATGAACCAATTGCTGGTCACCGGCTTCCATGAGACTGCATCTCCTCACGATGCTCGACTACCTTGTGGATCAGACCTTTAGGTCCAAGGCTCGGGGTGTGGCCCCCTAAGAAAACCACCTGCTTGGGTTTGGGCACCCGGGCAGTATCACAGCCCTCACACATGTCGAATGAGATTTGTGTGGCGCATATGTATTTGGTGCCTCCTTGTACCAATATCTATGTGTTAAAATAAATAAATAAATACTGGTCACTGCTTCCAACTATAACTCTAGGAATCACCTTATGAAGTCATTCACCAGTAAGTGATAATGGTTTGGTTTAGGCTGGAAATATTAACAACTAGATGCTAACGCATTATCTGAAGGCTGAGCCCTTGTCAAGAGACTTGAAGTTTTTTGAGTTCGATACGCAGTAGGATCATGGATGTGCATTATACTCATTTTTAAAACAAAACAATAAATTTATTCCAGAATTGAGATATTACTGAATAAATGAGTAATAGATTGATAAATTAACTTTAAAGGACTAAGTATTCTTTTTATATATTTCATTACATTGAAAACAACAAATGAATGCATAATTACATGCATTTTATCAACTATACTCTGGATGTATATTTAATGATAATAGTGGTAGGAGAGTATTTTAATTTTTCATTTAGTTCATATCAAGTATTATATTTCAATAATTTTCTAATACACGTTTTGTGAAATTTTATTTAATATTCGAAAAACTACTAAGTATATTTAAATAATATATGTACATGTGTGTGTGTACATGTAGGTGTTAAAAATTGGTTCACCTATAAATTTGAATATTCAATTATTATTCATCACACAGTTAATCGAAATCATATTTATGTAAATGAAATTAATTACTGACAAATGACTTTCAATATATATATATATATATATATATATATATATATATATATATATATATATATATATATATATATATATATATATATATAAGTCGGTCAGAAGAACACAAGGAACGTTCACACATACTGATGCTACACAAACCCGAGTCCAGGGTTTCTTGTTGACTACCTCCAACCGCCATCTAGTTATCTTTGTTTCTGATATTGGTGGTATTTTTTCAACACATATAAATTATAATAGTTGAGGTTATGAGTCAATTGAAGTTAGACCACCATGAAAACCTGAAAGCACTGGATGGCCTTTTCGTCCTATTTTGGGACTCCTCAGCAGTGTGCACCCACGATCCTGCCTCACAAGATTTGAACCCAGGACCTATTAGTCTTGCGCACGAACCTCTAGACCACTGAGTCGTTATCCAAGGTTGTTAATGTCTGACTCCAACTAATCCACAAAACTGATTGACACATCCGCCATTGTCTTCAGTGAGTTACTATCTCACAACAGATGCGGTTGAAGTATTAGTATATTTATTCAGGTTATGTAAATAAGATTGACAACTGAAGATTGATTAGTCATTCTGATATATTGATAACGCATAAAAAATAATAATGAATAACTAGCATCTAATCGGTAAGTATATTATGTTACTAAGACTAGTCTATTACAAAAAAATGTAAAAGAAGTTACAAGTTTACTAATTTGAAGCGGATGTGGAAGTAGGATCACATTTAATTGGAAATATTATTTCTCCTTGTTGCAGACTAAATAACATATTTGGTAAAAACGTGAATATATTTGACAAGTATAAATGAATAATTATTCTATCTAATAGGTTGGGAATGATTCAAACAGGTGAAGATACCATTATTTTGTATGTGATAAAAATAGTAAATAGAGAAAATAATGAAAAATTTTGAATCAAGTTTTCATAGAAGTTTTAAAATTGAAACTGTATATATCTTATAATCAGTCATACTAAGTAAAAATCTTATAATACCTTTTACAGTTTTGTTACTGTTTCAAAAGAGAATGAATTGAGTAAGATATTAGTTTACAACTTACATTACAGATTGACCTTAGTTACACAACCATTGGAAACCACTAAGCACTAGACAGTTATTTCATTTTAGTATGGAAATCCTTAGCAGTTCGTAACATAAACTCCATCAAGGACTGAACCAAGAATCTTCAGACCCTACAACCAGTGCTTGAATTTCGGACCGTTGAGTTAGCAACCGGTAGTTTATGTTTCTAACCCCAGTTAATTTGTAATATTACACCGCCGTCTTCTAATAATATTTGTACGCAACTGCCTGACATGCAACTTAGCTTAAATCCATTGGTCACGGTCTCCTAGTTTCCGTCAGTTTTTTTACTAAGGTCATTTCGTGAGATATACTGCAAAATTCAATAATTCGCACAAACTCCAAATATAATAAATATCTATTTAGTTGCTTATTTGTAGAGAATACTTTGCTTTCAAGGTAATTTTCAGTATCAGATAGTGATTTCTTTGGAAATCAAGAAATACCGATTGTGTGTTTCACCCTAATATGAGATTCATCAACAATGTATACTAAAGAGTTCAATATGGATCCGGACTCATAATTCGAATATCGCGTGATGAATATTAAGACAAATTAAGATATGTGACTTTGAATTAAGTGTACCATATTTTTAAATAAAGTTATTTCATAAATAAGAACTTTCGTCTAAATTTAAACGAATAGTTTCACAATATTTGGGCGCCGAGTTCATTTCATCATATAGTGTAACTGTTGTACAATATCGGTGATAAACACTTCACTCTATATCAAATCAAACCTCATTAGCCATAATTTCACTCGTTAATTGAATAAGAGTTTGAAATTTTATTTATTAAATCGGGATTAGGTGGCTCAAAATTAAGATGACCAGTACGAGACTTGAATATCTTCTTTTCATTCAATGACATATGGATAAGTTGATTTTAAATATTTATTAAAAGTTAGCTAAAAAATTATTATTTAACATTCTATACGGTTTTTTATGTTTTTCTAGTTGATTTCACTTGGTTAATTTTACTATCCGTCGATATATGTATATGAAAGAGGGAAAAACAAGAAGGGTAATGGTTCGCCACAATATTTTAAGGTTCTGGGCTCTATTCCATGAGGATCATGGATGACGTATATTTGGTGGTTGGAACCATTTGATTTTTCTTGACACTTTTATTCCTTAACAAGTTTTGCTTATAATTCTGAATGAATTGATGTTTCACCTGGAATTCGAACTTGTATCACAACTGTCAGTCACAACCGAAGATGGCAACACTGAATCACTCAGGTTTTGGCTGACCTTTTTTAAAACTGACTTATCTACACATTCGGTAGTATCCGTTGCCATATATAGTTATGAACGTTATTTTTCATGCCATTTTTGTAAGCTTAATTTAGGCATTTTAAATGTACTATAGTCTCTAGTTTACCAATAAATTAAGATTTTCAAAATGTTCAAACATTTAATAT